CGCAAAGTATTTAGTGTATCCAATTAGGGTCAGACAATATAGCTACATATACTTCCTCGACCTCTAGAATATGGGCTGTAATTAATACAAGATTATCAATCTGATTGGTTTGGGAAATACATATCATCTCGAAATCCGCATAATCCTTGTACGTTAATCCTGTAGAAGAGAATAAAAATAATCGATGGAAAACAAAGTTTATCGAAATATTACTTTCATGATCATACATTGTTTTACACAATGTGCAGATATTCACTCTAAACCATGGGAGTGGTTACTAAGAATGTACGTCAAATCATTTTACATTCAACCTTTTGCGATAGTGAATGTCTCCTTCTCGTCATAACTACAACCTTAAATATATTTGGAGATATTGCACCCTGTCTACTTCATAGTTAAACACTAATTTATTTTCAAACCAAATGATTGGCTTAAATATTTACAAAAAATAATTTGGGTTATTCTTTTAATATAATCCTTTCAATATTTGACAGTTTAGTCAATAAGAACTCTAATTTTAAATTTTAAAAAAACCTCCTGTCTCATCTGTTCTAATCTTCTTTTGAAAAATAAAGACTGAAGTAGGCAAATCTCCAACAACGAATTTTAATGTAAACTTATCAAACTTTAACAACTATAAAGAAGTATTACTAAATTCAAAAATAGATAAACGAAAAGCAATGTCACAAATGAATTGTTCGAATTAACAGGGTGGAGAACGTGGATTTCGTTCTACACGACTAATCAAATAAAGCTTTTTTCATTGTTAAGAAGAAAAACAAAGAAATATTTGGGTCGTTGAGACTATATGCTTTCTCTAGATTAATCCATCTCATAGGACATGGATATACAATAACCGATGAGTGTATGACTACAGATTACCGTCAGTTTTAAATCGCACAAACAATAATCACAGTCTCATAAATTCCATTATCAAATTAATTTATAACCAACATTAAAAACTAGTAGTTTTTCAGTTTTTTATACAATACCCATAAAACGAACTGTGATCAAAGTTGGTTAGTTTTGCACTTCTTTACTACCGAAATGACTAAATTCTTATTAGCAAACATTTCTCATTAGAGGCTGTTTTAGTCAAGATACAGAACTCAGATATTTGAATTCGTTAAAGATTATGTAAGTAACATTTACTCGAGGATCTATTGGTCTCGTATGCAAACGCTTAACCTCATGACCACCGAGCCGGGATCCAACGGTGTTAATGTCTAACTTCAACTAATCCACGAAAATGAGTGGCACATCCACCATTGTCTTCACTGAGTTACTGTCTCACAACAGACCCGGTTGAACTCCACTGCTCACTGCTTCTCACTAGAACTTCAGGAAATACCTCATGAAGTTAGTCACTAGTGAGCGTATGTTGATTAATATAAACATGGATTTCGTGGATATAATAGTATTTTAATAGTTGAGATCATGAGTCAATTGAAGCTAGAACACCATGGAAAACCATGGAAAATTAAATACTCCACATCTGGCTTAACTTGTAATAAAGAACATTCTCTGGAATCAAAACAAACATCATTTAATGTGAAGTTAATACTTAAAAAATTAATTCAACTGGATAGAAATGTCAGATTATGAAGTCTTATAACTAAAGGTACTCATCAGTTTACGTCGTGGATATTGTTTAAAAAATAGTGATGATTTCTCAATCCGGATATTTAACTCTGAATTATGTAAGACATTTATTTAATTTCATTTAGGAGAAAAGGTTTATTATTACTCTTGTATTACTCAACAATAATTAGTTGATGTTCACTCTGGGTTCGATGGGAAATGCTGGTGGGTGGTCCATGCTTCTCCACGTGGGGTAACAGGCGTAAGTAAGTAAATAAATAAGTAATTACTCAACAAGTGACTTATTATTACGCCTAATGATTATTAAAGGTACTTATGTTGAATATTTTTAACTATATTGGGAAATATTTTCTTAAAACTGAAGATAGAAAGAATCACTTAAAAACCAGTGTTTATGAAGTAAAAATAGGTAGAAAGTGAACGATTAAGTACGTGACCTAATTAATTCTCATGACCGTAAATTCATGTGTAAATTTATTCAGAATTAAGCACTTGCTAAATAAATAATGAGTAATGACGACTAAATCAACTTAATTTTATTCAAAAAATTAATCATAAAAATCTTTTACAAAAGCAGTGATTTGAATCAGTTCAATCAAATAAGTGTTTAACACTTCAACAAATTATAATTCCTAGGTTTTTTAATAAAAATTAAAAGTAAAAAGCGTACGGAAGATGTGATGTTGAAATTATTGAAAAGTTTAAAACAAACAAAGATACAAGCTTCTTTCCCAGAATCTCCAGAGAAATATGTTTTCAATTACTCAAGTATAACATTATCGACTATTCAGCTACAAGTATTATCTGTTGGTCCTAAATTTTTTAGTACGTCAACGAACATTAATGAACTCAACGCTAAAAGTATAAAGTTTGAGAAAATTTTACTTCAAAATCAAAGTTTTAATACCGATAATGTATACTGAAACGGCTGTTTCATCTTTAATTAAGCTTTCAAATAAGATGTTACCAAACATATCAATTTATGGTTTCAATTACCTTCAACTCATACGAAATCTCAACTAAATAAAAATAACTTTTAAGAATGGTCTTGTAATTGTTAGTGAGTGCCTCCAAGATTATTTTATTTATGAATTATTGAGAAACAATGAAATCGGTTGAAACAAGAGTATGACAGTTATCCCTTGACGACACAGTCTGATGATCAGGCGCAATTATGAACTGATCAGACATGTGAGATACTCGATGCTGGCTAAGTGGCTGGATGTTACTGTTCATTCTAACAAGTCCGAAGGATTTTAACTTAATTTTTCTGGGTCTTGGTATATCATTTCCAAGGAGTCCTACATTACAACGAAAAACACTGCTAGAGTTCCACTATTTCCAACGATCTTCTAGGTGGTGTATTTTGAAATGACGAATTAACATATATATGAACAATATTTTGTAAATAGATGGAAGAAACGTATCAGAATATTTCGGAGAGAAACATACTATTAGGTTAAATGCATTTTATAACTTTAAATTGTAACGTGGATCATAATTTCATTGGCTTTTTTTGAGGTAATGATCAATGAACATTCTCATCATGATTTACAGAATCAATTCAACCAATTTTATTCAATTTTCTAGTAAATACACTCTTATGGTAAATGCAAAGATGTTTCATTCATAAAAAACCCATCTGTTTAGTTAAAAATACCTCGGTATCTTGCAATGAAATAATATTTACTATACTATTTAAATATAATAACTAATATTTCACATGAATGAAAATATCACCAGGATATATCTTAGGAGTTTTAGTTTAGTACAATGAGGTACATAGTCATACAAATGAATATGGACTACATCAGAACAACGATAATAAGAATTGATTTCGTGTAGTAATTTCGTTTACAAATACTGTCCGTATGAACAGGTAAGTGTTCATGTCTCTGAAGTTGTGTCTTGTGTTTGAATATTAAGAGAGTCATACAGTTCCTTGGTGTTGTTAATACACTTTGATAAATCATCAACGTTTTCCTCATTCATCTCACATTATACCTTTGCTAAAATAATTTCTGAATTTTTTTCAAGGAATATTAAAACATTGTCATACATGTATTTTACCTTACAAATTTATTTTCATGTATACATATATATTCTGCATTCGAAAACCTCAGATCTTGTGACTTATGTTTATTTCATATTAACATGATCTTTTTCAGCAGCATAAGGCTATCTAATCAATCCCGTTAAGGTAATTAGAAGGTATTTTTTATAATTGTCTGGCATCGTTCTAAGAACCGCTGAAAGCAAAAAGACAACGAATAGTGGTTTTCTAATTGTTTTAGACTCTTCACCGATGCACATAGATAATGACATACTAAATCGAAGTCAGTAAATTATATCCTCACTACCCTTCTAGAGCTTAGTGATCACAATTTCCAATTTGAATTTAAGCATCAATAATACACTCTTCATAAACCATTATCAGGTACTTGTTCCAGCAACTATATTGAAATGACATTTCAAGGTTACTTGAATGTTTTGTTTAAATGGATGGTGTTCTTCAAAAATTATTAGGTCATTTATAAATAAACATAATATGGGTTGATATAATATGAAGTATGGTTTCATGACATCAGACATTTAATTAGTGTTAGCTACTGAATTACTTACAAAGGGACTGTTTTATGAAAATTAATGAACTTGGAACACACTTCGAAAAGGATTAACGATACGGATTATATAAAGGATAATATGTTATGCCACTGTACAGAATGAACCATGTGAAGAGCAATGACATATCCGATTTATCATTTCAGTTTTTACTTGATGTGACAAACTTTATAAATATGCTGTTCTAAAACAGAATACACTAAAAAACTCTTATTTATTAATAAACAACTTAAAAAATTTCCATTATATTAAAACACAATTGTATGAACGAAGAATATTCTTTTCAATAATTTCTCATCAGGTTCTACGATTATAAATCCAGATTAATAATCCATAAAATTGGCCAGATTTATAATCGTAGAACCTGATGAGAAATTATTGAAAAGAATATTCTTCGTTCATACAATTGTGTTTTAATAAACAACTTTACACTATAATTCATTTCTGTATTGGTTTCGAATCTTATCATTGATGTTTGGAACTGCAATTGATCAGTGCCTTATTGACATGTGTGTATCCTGTGAGGATTGCCTCGATGTTGCCTTCACTCCCAAGCATTATAGACAGAAATGGATGGTAGCTAGCAGTGGAATCCAGGACGTACGTTTCATTTCATTATGGACTCGTTAGCTGGATATACCACTGCTAGCCACCATACATCTCAACTACATATTGTAAGTTCTACAAAGTAAAATTCACTTATTTTAAAAAGCTCAGTGAATAAGTGGTCATTAATCAAAACTAATACGTGATTTCTTAAATAAGATACAACTTACACGAGAAGATACGACTTTATCAAATATTTTCAAATATGTGAGCTTCGAAACGTCTCTTTTTGGGAAATTGAATCTGATGACTACTTAAATATTAGTTTGCGCTTGTATGTGTGTATGGAACCTGAAAAGCCTAATTATCACTCAGATAAATTTGTAAACATTCTTCATTTATTCATTGGATTTAAGTCATCTGATGGCTTTTGTTTCTAAATATTTTCTAAGTACCCTTTTAACCAATCAGATGGATTTATAGAAAATACAGGTGATTTATGTAAAGTCATTCGATTAAAAAAAAATGCTTTTTCATGTATTATTTTTACTCCTATATTCTGATGACTACAAATAATTTAAGTGTTACAACTGAAAATCTGTTACACACACTAATGTTCTGAACAGGTGAGATTTTCGTGATTATCTGTACAGCTTTTCATTGCATCCTTTAGTGTCTTTAAGTTCTAATTATTACATACCAGAGGAAAACAGAAGTGTGGTCGATGTTGAGAACTCCGAACGGGCTATGTCCGCGTAACTGATCCCAAATTATGAAGAACAATTATCACACCAACCGAGTGAACATAATCTTTATTGACATGATAAATTTTCCAACACAGTTGATTTTAATATACGACTGAGAAGGTATTGTTCAATGGTAATTCTTATGATTGGTTATTTCATTAATTACATTGAAAAACCAAGGTTTTATGAAGTATTGTAATGGTATAGTTAGATGATAAATTCAACCAGAAAATAAAAACTGTTTTAACTTACTGCTTCGAGAGAGTTTAGAAAAGCAATAACTGAGATCAATAATTATCAGCATTGAGCTTAACAAAATAATTTTGGCTGGAGATATTCTCAAAAAAACTTCAAGCTGGGATGAGTAATAACTACAGAAAATGTATTACATAAAATATGTGGAAACAAAGGAAGTATCAAGCAAAATCTCCCAAAAAAATCTACAACTCATCAGTCGAAGTTTGACAACAGCTTTGAAGATAAATATGTTAAGAAAAATTATTTTGATTTCAAATCTGTCTCCAACTATCATACACAGGAAAAAAGATCTCATCTTAATATTGACCAAACCAAACAAAAGCAAGTGGTTCATATACTACTACTTCGATTGAGAGTTATCTCAACAAATCCAGTTCAAAGAAACTAGCTGCTTTAGATACTAGTAGTGAATGTATGCCTTTCAAGGTTTCATAAAAATATATTGAAGATAATACATATATATACATACGAAGATATATTTTTGCACCTGATCAACCTGGGTTTCATACTCGGGGCTTACTCAACCGTTCGGGCTACCCAATGTATTATTATTATTAATGGCTTTATTCAATATTATCTTTTTGGTACAATATAGAATTCTCAGCACTTATGCATGAAAATTACAGAAGTTCTCGAACTTACGTAGTTCAAGTATATAGGTATATGCAAAAGGTATGCATGAGGTGTGGTATAAAAGAAAATGTTAAGGTGCAAAAACGTATGCCCTATGTCTAATAAAATCAGCGGCCCATATATGAGGTCAAAGACAGTAAAAATAAGTAGTAGCGAATACGAGGAAGAGGCCATCATCAATCTCCCCTGAGAGAGTGCTTATGCATATATGTGTAACAGGAAATACGGAGGCGATAGCCATGAGCTGAATGATGTGTATGTAATGTGTAAGAGTGAGTCTAGTGCAGCAAACACGTTTTCTATGAGGGTGGTGGACATCCACCCTTCCAGGTGGATGAATATACCTATGTGTATGCTGTGGGATTCATGAAGTAAAAGCTGTTTGATACTCGTGTGCATGTAACGTATATTTACTCACAGAGTATATACAACTGTATGTATGCCAAGTGATACCCGGATGAAAGTACGTGTGTTAAATCGTATGTTTATAGACTATACCTAAACAGTTCAAGTAAAATTCAAGAACATTTTTACTTGTTCTTGCGTGAGATAGCAATATGCATGCAAAGACTCGCCCAGGCTGCGGTCCCCACAAAAGCGCATAAATGTGGTGAGATTGTGAGCCTCGAAAAAACGGAACCCAGAAAGAGAAGGCCATAACTCCGCCTGTAGCTCTTCGAAGGCCACTGTTGGTCCCAAGCCCACACAAAGGAGAAACGTTAGGAGTGGGATCGGCATCCTCATCCTGTAGAACACGACACTGCTAAGAAAACGCTCACCAAAATTAACAAATTACACCATTCAAACTCTGACATCCAAGTTTAAGGGTCTCCTTTCAGAACAATTATGACGCCTCATGATGAAAGCCAAGGTTCTGCCGAAGTCACGAGGCCGATACCACTTCTAATAATCAGAGCAACAATTAATATAAATTCATGGAATGTTCGCACAATGTGAGAAACTGGAAAGATCAATCAAATAGCTGTGGAAATGAGATTATACAACTTGATAGTATTCGGAATCAGTGAGACCCATTGAACTCAAGCTGGACAGAAAATGATAGATTGAGGAGAGATGCTGTTGTGCTCTGGTTATGAAGAAGGAAATGCTGAACACACACCGAGAGAGTTGCTCTGATTTTGAACACAGAAGCACAAAGAGCACTTGTAGAATGGAAGTCTCAAGACAAATAAGGGATGGATCACATTAAATGTTATCCAGTGCTATGCATCCACCAACCACAGCAATGAAGACGATAAAGATCAGTTTTATGAGAGGCTGCAATTAGTCGATCGTGGAGAAGTGCACAATGTACGAACTGTAGGAACCATCCTAATGGCAAACTTGAAGGTCGAATTCGGAATGGACAACACCGGATATGAAGATGACATTGGACGACATGAGCTGACTGGGAGAAACGTACGAGTATGGAGAGAGAGATATATGTAGAGAGTTGCAAATTCATGTGAATTCAATAAATTGGTTATTGATATTGCTTTATTCACCCACAGACGCATACACGAAAACCATATGGGACTCACCGGATCACATCACACTACAGAGAACCAGATGGATCTTATCTGCGTCACTAGAAAACTCAGAAGATTAATGGAAGACAAGAGAACCAGAAGATGAGCTGACATGGCTTAGATCACCACCTGCTTGTGGTTGACAAGGTGAAACTGAAGTTAAAGAAGCACTGGACAACTGGCGAAACAGCATTACAAAGGTTCGATACAGCCCTCCTTCGACATGCTGACAAACTCAACCAATTCAAGATAACTCTGAACAACAGGTTCCAAGTCTTACGAGATCTGCTGGAGGTAGAAGAAGAAGAAGAGACTACTATGGTGGAGAATTGAAAATAGATCGAAGGAGCACTAACTTCAACGTGTCAGGAGGTTCTGGGCTGAAGGAAACATCATCATAACCAATAGATCTCCATCGAAATGCTGAACAAGGTTCAAGAAAGGAAGAACATGAGGACATCAATCAACAACAGCCGAACAAGAACAGAGAGAGTGAAGGCTCAAAGTGAATACACTGAAGCCAATCACTGAGATTCAAGTACAGAGGAACGGGTGGGTAGAACACTTTGAAGAAATCATGAAAAGACCAGCTCTAATGAACAAATCAAGAGAGTGATAGCATCAGGACCAAACAACATACCATCTGAAGCACTGATGTTAGACAAAGAAGCAATTACGGATAAATGTTGAACGATCAATTGAATAGAGCTCATAGTTATTCATCAACTTCCACGAATATGCGAAAGCATTTGACAGCGCGGATAGGAGAATCCTATGAAAGCTTCTTCGTAACTATGGTGTACCTGAGACGATCGTCATCATTATACTAAATTCATAGGACGGACTGCACTGCAATGTCGTGCATGAAGGACACCTGACGGTTGCGTTCGAAGTAAGGACCGGTGTTATACAAGGCTGCTTACTATCTCCCTTCTCATTTCTTCTGGTGGTTGACTAGATCATGAAGACCTCGACATCCGAGTGGAAGCACGAAATGCAATGGACAACTTGCATGCAGTTGGATTAGTCGGAATCCCAGATGACCTAGCCCTCCGATATCACACACAGATACGGATTCAGGTGAAGACAGTCAACGTATCGTCAGGTTCTGCAGCAGTAGACCTCAAACCAGCACCAAAAATATCACACTTGACAGAGGAGCTCTGAAATGGCTGGAAAGATTTACGTACCTGAGGACGATCATTGATGAACAAGGGGGATCTGATGCAGATGTGAAGCCACAGATTGGCAAAGCAGGGACAGCATTCCTACAGTTAATTATTATATGGAACACGGAGAAATTTCAAGCACAAGCTAAGTACATAGAAGCAAACAAGCAAGTGAAGTAAAGCATTAGAGCCGACAAGAAGAAATACGTGGGAGAACTAGCAGTGATATCGGAAAAAGCTGCAAGAGAAGGAAATATGGAAAAGCTTTATGATACAACGAAGATAATAGCTTATACTTCTCCACGAGAGTTAACAGGTATAAGTATCTAAGTAAGTAAATTCTAGTATCTCCAACTTGTTTTGACTTTTATCGATTAGGGAATATTTACTAGAAATGTTGTGGTGACGATAATGGGAGACTTTCAGTGTGAAACAAGAAACATAATATAAAATAAATGCTAACCGGTAAAGTCATTAAAGGTAACAGTTCAGAAAAACAACTATTGATGTCAGAGATGATATTACTGAGTTCAGGTGTAACTTTAGAATGAAGGCAAATTAATAATGTCTGATTTCTTTCTTTTTTTGAATATTATAGTGTGAATACTTATGTACGAACTTTATTTTTAAAATGAACAATAATTGACTTTCAGTTTTATTCAGCTGTTGCCTTATTTGATTAAATATAGGACGAAACTTGCAAATATTGAATGTTTCAGAATCACAAAATAATGTATTTCTGAATCAAAAAGAAATAATAATAATTTAAAGATATATATGATTATTCCGAAATAGTTTTGAACCATTTATGTGGTAGGTTACTTATTCGATCTGACTGTATTGTAATGTTTTAACAAAGTGCTGAGTAAATAGTTGAATATACGGCAATGCTTTTCATTTAAGTTCTAAAAATTCAAAATAATTGATGAACATGCATCCCTCGTTCATCAACTAGGTGTCTCTTTTATTCTTCTTTATTTCTACATTGGATCAGTAAACTTCATTTCAAGTTAAAACTAGAAGTATCGACTTTTATTCATACCGTCCTTTATCTGTTATAGCTGATAACGCCAACTACATGGAATGGTTGATTTGTTATTATATAGCTCAAAGTAGTCAGCGGAAAACCCTGGACCTAGTTAGTGATCGTCGGTTATTCGGTTCAAATAGCTTAGT